AGGTGGCTGGTGTGGCCTCCTTGGTTTGGGGTAGGTGATAAGAGCAACCATCTCTGCCCCAGGGGTGAGTACTTTGTCAGTGTTGCTCTGGGAGTACGGTCCTATAGGTCTGAAACACCCAAGGGAAGCACTCCCACTCCCTTATACTGCCTCTCAGCAGGAGCACCTAATGGAGTTAATTCTTTCCTGTGATGGTGCTGAGACACTGGCCCAGGTTGCCCAGAGAAGTTGTGGATGCTCCTCCCTGAAAGTGTTCAAGGCCAGGTTGGGTGAGGCTTTGAGCAACCTGGTCTAGTGGAAGGTGTCCCTGCTGATGGCAGGGGGGTTGGAACTAGATGATCTTTAAGGTCCCTTCCAACCCAGACCATTCTGTGATTAATTACCACCGGCTCTTCCAAAGAATGGGTGTTCTTTTCTCACAGTCTCTAGTAGAGTGACACAGGAGAACAGAACTAATGATCTCATTCTCATGTTTATGTCTGTGATATGAGTGGTTTCCTGGAACTTGCCCATGAGGTCACATGAAAGCGTTTTGGGTGAAAAGAAGCAGTTCTCTGTTTAGCTACATATCTATAGCTACTCCTATGAAGGCAGCTGCATGCTACATGAGCATACCTACATAGGGACGTATGCTCATGCTGCGTGACATTTCAGGCCTGGGTTTTGACTGCAGTAAGACTACTCTATGCCTGCAGTGTAATCAGCTGCTGAACAGGAGGTGAGGGTGTTAAATTCCCGCTGTAGCAGCTCTTGGGAACCTCAGCTCACAAAAAAGTGCGGCTGGGGAACCTGCCACATGCAGTGATGCAGGGCTTCTACCTCCTTGGGCAGCCGTGGTGAGTCAGATGAAGCTGCTCTGAATCACTGTCTGAAATGCCCCACCTCTAGGAAACCAAAACGGCTTCAGTTTGGACTGAATGATTTTTCAGTGGTAACTCGGGTTCTCTGACTGTGTTTCTTGCCTTTGGAGCTCATTTTTTCTTTTAACACATACTAAAAAGCTCTGCAGCTTGAGAAACGTGGTGGATGAACTGTTTTAATGTTCATGATGGAGGTGTGGTTTAAAGGCAGAGAGTGGCTATGGGAAAGGAAGAGTGCGGAATTGAGAGGTGAACCTCTAAAAAGCAGCTGATTGAGCTTTGAGGTGCAGGTGTTGTCAGAATATGCTGTGGGAAGTCTGAGGTGGCTTTTGCCTGCTCAGGAGGGAGAAGACGGGTTGCAGTCTTCAAGAAGCAGTTTCTGGGGCTGCTTGGGAAAGCAGTTTTCAAAAGCAGGTGTCTGAAAGGTAACTTGGAGAAGGAAAATCCAGGTAATATTACACTTTGCAGATGCTTGCAGAGCAGGGTGGGGAAGAGCAGGGGAGTGAGTATAGAGTTGAGAGGGTTTCAGTGGACTGGTAATGATTAACAAGGGAAACTGGACTACTGGTCTGCCTTCAGGTGCTTAGTGCTGCTTGCCAGCCTTTCTGTGCCAAGTCATTAAGAGAAATAAGTATCACTGAAGGTCACAGTCCCTGTAATTACACAACAGTGCTGCTCACATTAGATCTCTTTCTGTTGCTGGAGTGCCTCTCTGCAGAGATTTTACTTGTTACTTAGGTGGTTTGTTAGCAGCTATGGTAGGGAGCCCAGCTTGGAGCAAAAGGTTGTCTTACTCTGTCTGGACTCCTTGATCTTTATCCTTGGACACTGAGGAGATTGCAGGGTGGTTTTTTCAGTCTAGGGCTGGGATGTGCTGACCTTATCTGTACCTGTGTGTCTTGGCATTGCAAAGGAGCGACCTTGGACTGCTCACTGGGTGTCCTAGAGCAAGGCAGACCAAGTTGGGCTGTGGGGAAACCGCGAGCCTAACCAAGATGCATCCCCAAGTCATCTTTCCTTGCCTGCAAAGCCGTAAGCACCCTGCCTGGCCCGTTCTGATTGCCTCATTCCTTTCCTCGAGTTACTTACAAGTAAAACCAATATATACCTTTTTACATGTGAATTGCAAATGAGCAGTGATCCCCTGCAATTAAGGGGATGTAATAAACTTCTGTTAGGGAAGGCTGTGGGCAAAGGCAATGATGTAACAGCACTTGTTGCACAACAGCAATCTAATTATGGTGCAATACAGGTGTGAGGGATTTAGCAATGCTAATACTGCTTAACGTGGGGATTGGAAACCTTGTGGATGCCAGGGAGCAAGGTTTGACTTTTTGTTAAAAGCCATAATCTCTTCAAACAGCAATTGTTAAGGTTCAAGCATGGAAAAGCTTGTTTTCTTGAAGGGAAGACTGATATTGAACTCTCAAGAGTCCTCTCAGCACAGCTGGAGTCAACAGGAGATGTTTTCAAGTGTCACCTGTAAACTAGATGCTGCAAGATGTGGTTCTACAATTCTCCCCCTCATCTTTATCCTTGCACCATGCCACTGACAAGGTCTGCTTTTATACAAGTGTTGGCTCAAAGAGAGGGAGCTTGGGCATCTTTCCCTGCTTCAGGACAGACTGGAGTATTTGGGAGTGTTGTTCTCAGTCGTATCTCACGGTAGTACGTAGGTACCCATGTTATTAAATAGATGGCTTACTCCTGTAAGCCTTGTCTCTTCTAAATTGCCAGGGTGGCTCTTGCTGTAGCATTAAGCACTTTGTATTTAATAAATATGCCTAAAGCCTCATTTTGTTACCACCAGGATAGCTTGTATGGAGCTGTCTTGGATTTGTTTAAACCTACTGCTCTGCAACCTGGGAAACATGATGGAGAAGTTCATAGGTGGCAGCTGGTGAATGTGTGGGTGACTTCAATCTGGCTTTTGCTGCTGTCTTCCATGGGATTCAGCTTTGAGTGATGACGTGTGACTGACTGGGCTATGGGACTCCTGTCAACTGTGTCAAAACTGGCACTGGAAAAAAAAAAAAAGTTATGGTTTCCATTCACACTGTCTGGCTTTGATGCTTACTTGTGTGTGTTCCCTAGTTTAGAGTGTGGTCTTGAGATTCCTTCCCATTTACTGATATTTCCTTTCTTCAGAATGTGTTCAACATGGTTGTGGAAGTACCTCGATGGACAAACGCTAAGATGGAGGTAACTATATGACAGTTCCAGCTTAACTGCTTGAGCTGACTGGTTTATTAATCTCTGGCTTTGCCGATTCTCTCCTCCTCAATTCCACCTCTGGAATCAGAGTGGTTTCTGACTTCTCGTGTAAATACGTGCTTAGTGCTCAAGGTCTGGTATGGAGGCTGAGACTTGCAGAAGCTGGAATAACTCAGTATTCTTCTGTGGCTTCTGATGAAAGCAGCATCTTATGGCTGTCCGCCCAGCGTGGTTCTGACGTTTCTAAATCTGCTGAAAACTATATCCCACGAGATGGCAACGCAACAGGAAATTGAGTTGGCCTCAGTGTCAGCTCCTGGTCTCTTGGCTTGTCAGTTAGCAGCCAGCTTAGTTTAAAAAAAAAAACCACCAAAAACCAACCAAACCAACCCAACAAAACACTTGTTTTTCTTAGAGAGCAAAGTAGAGAGATTTATGTAACTTTTCTTTCAGATTGCAACAAAGGATCCCTTAAACCCAATTAAGCAAGACGTGAAGAAAGGAAAGCTGCGCTACGTAGCTAACGTGTTTCCCCATAAGGGTTATATCTGGAATTACGGTGCTATCCCACAGGTATTGTAAATTGTCGTGCTGGCTCATCCCTCATCCTTTCTGGTGGGGAGGAGGGAGGATGCCTGTGTGTGTCTCTGACTACTGCTGTGTTAATGAGCAAAAGGTCAGCTGAGAGTCTCATCTGGAACACAGCATTTGCAGCTGCATATGTAATCATGCTAATGAAGAGAACCTGTCAAGAAAGCAGGGGTACTTTTAAGTAGAAATATCAAGAGATAGGCTTGTAGCTAATGCTGTAAACAAGCTATCTGAGGATGAGCACCTGCTGCTAGTGGTGTAGATACCTGCTGTGTCACTCCTCTCCTTGGCCACTTGGCAGTTTGGTTGGATGGTAGTTGGCAAGTCCTTGTCTTTGGATGAAGGAAGCTGTCACTACACAAGGAACTGGGCATCTGGCAATGCAATGCCCTCAGTTCCTGCCTGGTGAAGCACAAAGTTTTCAGCTAATGGTATAGGGTCTCCACGTGCGGCCCCTAGTCTGAATCTTTGCAGAAGATTCTTCTTGCAGCAAATTACCTGGTTGTTTTAGACTTTGGATGTGGACTGTGAAAATCTGAATAGATCTGAAGACTGTATCTTTCCTGTGTCTGCCCCTCTTATTGTTCAGGTGTAAAACACACAGCTAGACTAATGTATCCACCTGTTGGGTGGGAGTAGATGTCCTGTTGTCAGTGTTGGATCCAAGAAAGGCACTCGGAAGTCCAGAGACTGTGTGAGGCAGATGTCTGCAGCTGCACAGACATGCTTTCTCTGAAACACCTGGCAAGGGGGGACCAACAGATGGTGACACCTTGACATGAGCTTTTAATTGGCTGGTGACTGCTAGATAAAGAGGAACTGTAAGCAAGACTGTTTGCCTCTGATGTTCTCTAAGGTTTGCGTTTCCTGTAGAGAAATAAATTGTCACTGATGGGAATTTTCACAGGGAAACACACTGAATTTTGTAATTCTGGTCTTGCTAGCAGCGCGTGCCGAGTGTTTTCCCCAAGCGGCTTAAGACAGTGTTTCAAAGTTGAACTGTTTTCTACTCGGATGGATTCCAGAGCCAGTTTCTTTGTACAAAATTGCGGCTTTTGAAGCCTTCACTCAGTCATGTGTTAGTGGATCAAAGATGTTTATGCATCAAGGGCAAGGGACCCAACTTAATGCTTCCTTGTAGAGAAGTGCGATAGCGATTGTGAAGAGTCCTTCAGCACCGCCCAGGTTTCAGTACATCTTCCTGAATGCTCCAGATGCATCACGAGGTCTCGACTATACCAGTCGTGTCCTGGCATGCAGAGATTTGGGAAAAGCATTCCTCCTTTTACCTTAGAGGTAGATGCTCCATATGATGCAAGTGGGCACAGTGTCCTTTTATCAGAAGTGTGTGTTTAAAGCAGCTGTTATTTTTGGAGGCATAGCTCCAATGCCTTCTGGAGTCCTGTTTTCCAACTTACCACTTCAGGTGACGTGCACTAGGACACTGGGTAGCATAGGGTACGGGACTCTGTGTTCTTATCACCACTGTAGTGTAACAGCCTGTCTTTAATTGTTTAATTAAAAGGAAACAATGCACCCTGTCTGTCTTCCATCTCTGTTGGACTGCTATCTGGAGTTCAGGAAACTTCTGTTAAGAAATGAATAGGGAGAGGAACAGGCAGGCAGCCAAATCAGTGAGTGTGCTTTATAGATGTGAACTTCACCTTTATGCAGCTGTGGAGCGGAGGAGGAAGTCTGGAGAGTTGTTGAAAAAAGGTTTGTCAGTAGGAGGGAGCAGCTTACCCTTGGCGAGATAAAACCTTTTAACTCGACTCAAACGGCTTTGCAGGCATGTGTGCAACAGCAGCCCAACCGCTAGAGCTGAGAGCAAGTGTGAAGTGGGCCATCATCTGTATCTTCCAGGCAATTGCATGCCTGAAATAAACCTGCTTTCTGTTTCCTCTTGAAACCTAAGAGTTCTTATGTGTGGGTTGGTTGTTTTATTTTGGTTTTTTGCAGACTTGGGAAGACCCAGGTCACAAAGATGAAAACACCGGCTGCTGTGGAGATAACGATCCAATTGATGTGTGTGAAATTGGAAGCAAGGTAATGCACTTTAAAGGGTAACTGTCTTGTGAAACGTGTAATTAATGTCTTTGAAGTCAATTATCCAGAGACATTATTCAGTTCCTGTCTCCTCTACCTGAAGAATGTGGTGTTTCCCTCCGATGCCTCCAGAGACTGTTGATGAGATCTTACAGTGTGTGAGCCTTGTGAGCCAGGGCTCAGGAACCGCTGATAAGCCACAGCTAATTTCCTGGTACTCGGCTGCTTGCTGAACTATTGCAGCTTGCACAGTCTCCTGTTGTGAATTCCTTGGAGGCATCACTACGGACAACAAGGTCTTTTTCCTTGCAGGTCTGCTCTCGAGGAGAAGTCATCAAAGTGAAGGTGCTGGGCACGCTGGCACTGATTGATGAGGGAGAGACAGACTGGAAGATAATTGCTATCAACGTTGAAGACCCTGAAGCAGACAACTATAACGGTGAGTAACAGGAGGGAGGGGCAGGCTCAGTACTTCCTTTTCTCCATCGAGAGCCTGCAGGAAACTTTCAAGTCGGGATGTGGACTTGCTCCTTCTATGCCATCATATTTATCAGATGTAATACTGGAAGGACAGCAGAATAGGGTATCATCAATCCTATGGCAAAACATTTTACTGCTGTTGGTCCCAAATGCAGTCCTCTGCGTAGCCTGGCATCTCGAACAAGAGGGTGGCTGTACAGCCTGACTCCTGAGGGGAAGGAAAGGGGTTGTCCAGTAAGTCTCTAATCAAAGCTGTTTAAATGTGTCCATGCTCCTGGGGGCAATGAGGATGTACTGTGAAGGAGAAACATTAACTTCCCTCTGCAGCTATCCACTTTGTATCTTTCCTGTAACCTGTCTGAAATGTTGCTAAAGAGGGGCTGCTCAGAAGAGCAAGGTAGTAGCTAAGTAACTTCTGTTACTAGATGTGGCTAACAAACCTTTTCTTCCTGGCTAGATATCAATGATGTCAGAAGGATGAAACCTGGGTACTTGGAAGCTACGGTGGACTGGTTCAGACGATACAAAGTACCTGATGGAAAGCCAGAAAACCAGTTTGCTTTTAATGGCGAGTTTAAAGACAAGGTAGGATCGCCTTGCTTCATTACTGTGAGCATGCAAAGGCACGCTGTCCAAAACCTGCTCTCAAGGTACATGGGGACACAAATGAGTAGTCATTGAGAGAATGGGTTTCTACAGGGCTGTATGGATAGCTGACTTCATTCTTCCTGCTGTTTTTCTAGCCTGCCATTCTGCTTGTTCCTGCTGCTTGAAGGAATACTAGGAGAATAAGCATAGAGTTATCACCTGGCTGCTGTTAGACATTACCAGTTTTTCTTCTAGATGACATTCATGTGGGATCGCTTCAGGTCTGGGAGCCTCCGTGTCAGAACCAGGATGGAAAACACCATGTTTATTTGTTCCTGCTCTGGAGCAAAGGGTGCTTGACATCACCCTTCACCTCCCTTGCTCACTGGCTTTGTTCCATTGCAGCCTGTTGCAAGTTGAAGTTAACTCGGGAGTTAGAATGCTTCTTCCTTCAGGCATAAAGTGTTCCTCACACCCTTTGAGTAAGGCTGTGCCTTGGCAGCATTATTCCTCTGCCTCTTCTCTGGGTTGGATCAGATAACTTACTGCTCCTGAACGGCAGAAATCCTGCTTCTGCGCCCTTCCTCCTGCCAGTCCTGGTGTGCCCTGAGTGGGTTAGTGAGGTGACTCAACTCCCGAGCTCCGGAGTTGGTGCAGAGAAGGGGAGGGCCTGCAAAGCCTGGTGTGGGAAGGGAAGAGAAGGAAAGGGTAAGGGGGCCTCAAATGGCATCACGTGGGAGTGAACTCGTCCCCTTCGACTGCAACACAGCACTAGGGTGGGCTGGGACATATCACTGCCCCTCAGGATGGGTGAAACCAGAACCAAGGCCAAGGCGGAAAACAGGGACAAAGAACCTCACACATGTTCCTGCAGTGTTTTATTTGGCTCTGGGTGGTATCAAACCAGGATATTTATTGCTGGTGTTCATGCTAACAAAGAATTGTGTGTACTTCCTTCTCCAGCTGACGGGATAATGCTTGAGCAGATACTACTAATTTTAAGGAAAAAAGCTGTGATATGCTTGGAAGCAGATTCGTTTTTAAATAGTTGCAAAGCTAGACTAGGTGCGTGTCTCTTCCTGTTGAACTGCACAGCAGTTGAATAATTTGCCTGGAGTGGAAGAAGGCTCCCAGATAGATTGGGATAAACTAGCTGCTGGACACAAACCGAGTGGGAGGAGCAGCGGTGTGGAGGTGCTTTTGTAATATAGCACTGGCCCGAGACTAGAATATCTGCGTTCAATTTCTTTTGGCCTCAAGCTCACTGGTGACCTTGGTGTCTCCTCCCATCTTGAAAGCAAAACAATTTGTATTGTAAAATCCCTGTTGTTTCAGCAGTTGTGCGCTGGGAGGTTGCTGCTGTTCCTGGGAGGTACAGTAAGGGAAGAGGTTTCTCTGAGCCCCTTTCAGAGTCAGAAACTGTCTAAAAACCAGCCTAGAAATACTGGTCTCTCGTTCCATGTGACTGATAGTCTGGAGAAGACGGTCTAGTGCTTACGCATAATCTGATGTTTGTTCTTATCTTCAACTTTAGGATTTTGCTGTGAATGTCATCAAATGTACTCATGAACACTGGAAAGCTTTAATAGCAAAGAAAACTGACGGAGGGGAGATCAACTGGTAGGTTAATACTTGTGATAGTGTGCATGTTCCTCTCCCCTAAACAAATGTCTCTGAAACTTCCTTCCCTGAGTGGTGCCGTGCTTTCCATTAGCTGCTGGCTGTCTCTGCAGGCCTTCCCCTTCAACTTGGCAACTATAACAATGATTCTTAATATTTCATTATTTAATAATCTTGGGGGAGAGGCTTGGCTTTCACATTCTCATAAACGACATTTCTCTTCTAGCATAAATCTGACGGTGTCCAACAGCCCTTTCTGCTGTAGTCAAGAGTGTGCAAAAGCTACTGTGGATGCAGTAAGTACAAATCTGAGTGTCCTACCCCCGACATTGGTGTCAGGCAAAATGATACGATTCGTTTGGTACCGTCAAACTATCCTTGCTGTGTGAATAGCATGTTATCTGCTCAAAATTTTTTGAATGACTGGACACAGCATCTGTTTCTGGAGGTGGAGCAAGCCAGACATTCCTCCAGAGGCTTCTACTTGCCCTTAGTCATCTGGGAGACAGAATCCAAAACAAGAGTTTGCATGAAGGGCTAAACTTCTGAACCATAGCTCAGCTGCCAGCTGTTCAGAGAGTGTTTAAATGTTTGGCCATCCAGGAGCTTCACGGCACAGGTCACCCTCTGAGAACAGAAAGACTAATTCCTGAGAGCCTTGCAGCAGGGACCTTGCACCCTTTGCAATGAAAGGTTTGAAGTTCCCAGTGTAGTACTCCTACCCAATTTCAGGACTTAACTGCATCTCCCCAGGCTTGTGAAGCGCTACTGTGGGCAACTTGAAAGGGGATAGAGGAATGGCACAGAAAAATCAAAACGTTTCCAGTCAGTGTATGGAAATGTGACTGGAAACCGGAGTCTCTCTGTAGCCTTGGAGAGACTTTTAAAACCACTGTCTTGATTTTAAAAGTGCTCCTATCCTCTGGTGGTATCCACATTACTGTATAAGTTTTTGAAAGTGTAACCCTTGCAGAGGATGTGTCACCAGCTGGGGACAACCAGCTGTCTTTGGTTGTTAAATATCAGGTGAAAGTGGTTCAGATAAGTTTTCCAAGAGTCCTTTGTCCTTCTATTCCACCATCACATTGTAGGTTTAAAAAAAGGCTGTCTGCAACTGTATAGATGCTGGAGTAACTGCTTGTGGTGAGGAGCAGATGGCACTGCAGCCTATGCTTAGAGCAGAGCAGATCACCTCTGGCATGTAGGACACATATGGAATGAGGAGGCTGTGCAGATGACAGGACTCACACTGCATGTGAGCTCATTTGTACCCTCACAGCTGACCAGCACTGACTGCCACAGACCAAGTTACACTGCTTAGATCTTAAGCTGTGCTCAGTAAAGACTTGGGCAGCTCTACGTGATGTCTAGTGAGCTTTGGGCTTAAGGTCAACCTCTGTCAGCAGTTGCTCTCTGCTAAAACTGGCTGGATCACCATGCCCAAAGAGTTGTGGTGAATGGAGTGAAATCCAGTTGGTGGCCAGTCAGGAGTGGTGTTCCCCAGGGCTCACTACTGGGGCCAGTCCTGTTTAACATCTTTATCAATGATCTGGACAAGGGAATCAAGCACACCCTCAGTCAGTCTGCAGACACCACCACGCTGGGTGTTGATCTGCTGGAGGGCAGGGAGACTGCAGAGGGATCTGGACAGACGAGATGAATGGGCCAGGACCAA